GATTTCGAATTTCATAGCTATTAATCTGATTACCGACAATTTATGTTAACTTTCAATAGCTTTCTTAAATTTTCTTATTTTAAGCTATTTTATCTTACGTTTGCTTACTTGAGACTTTCCGTTGTAATCAGGTCAACTGTCAAACGCGGTGCTACACGATTCCACAGTATTGTCACATGTTATCTAGCATCATATATTTAATGTTTAAGGTTCAAGCTTTAAATTGAGCCTACGTACAGTATTCAGTATCACGTCACCCGTTTCCTTGTGACAGAGGTTCAAAAAGCGTCAAAAACGCATTTTTTCACATTTCGACCGCCATTTTCTCAAAAACGTGACGTGATGGAACATTTTAGATTTCAAATTCGTAATCTACGAGAAAAATCCTATCGAAAGCATGTGTCACCCCTTTTGTGACAAAAAGAAAAGTCGCAAAATGTAGACCAGTGTAATTAGACTCATTAGACCGAACTGGCTGCACGAAGAGACCTCGTTTACGGACTTGGAATTCGGCGAAACTTCGACGTCACGACGCCGCGCGACCGCAGTACACGAAGCTTTGAAAAATGGCTTGTTGAGCAGCGAGGTGTTGAGGCGGCGTTAATCTGATCTCTTGTAACCTTGAGGAGTCGGATATCCTCTCGCGGCACAAATGACTTGAATACGGCGGAGGAAATTATTCGTATGACACGTCCTTCGAGTCGTCCTCGCATAAAAATTCAAAGATTTGGAAGAGCGGTGCCGCGAGCTATATTAGACCTCTTAGGGTCTCGTTTCCATCGAAGCCTGATGCTCTTAATATTTTAAAGAAGAAGAATTCTTATTCTGGAACGGTCGCGAAGTGAGGCAGGATGAAAGGAAGATACAGGGTGGTCGCTATTAAGAAACGAGGAAAAAATGGGACTATTAATCTTTAATGTGTTATCGAAATGGTGGGATTTGAGGATCAGGAGTTACCAGGACCGCGATGCTCTGCTGTTCCATTTGTGTGATTAGTCTAGATTCAATTTTTCCGAAAACGTGATTGAAGTCAAGCCAGTCCAGTGCCAAATTGGACCAAATTGATAGTTTCAAAATTTCCCATCACGGCGATAAACAACGGGAGATAAACAAACGAGTGTTCGTTCGTTTCTGTTTTTTTTTCCGCAAAGGTCACACTTTGGCATACTTCTTTTTCATTTTGTTTGTTAATGACATTTTAGTCAAAGTTTCTAAATCTTTATCGTACACGGATAACGCTCTCGAAAATTTTTTCGAAAAGTTTACGCGATTTTAATGCAACGTTTGCGGAAATAATTGCCCTCAGCTTAGCGTTTCCAAATGTTTCGTTTCGCTCATTTTGTATATAAACTCGATTTATTTATATTTAATTATGCTCTTCGCGGTTCTTCGTTTTCCTGCCTCAGCAGTCGCAGTGAGGCGCGCGTTTTGTTTAGTTATAATTTGTCATTCAATAATCATACCCAAAGACTTATTGCAAGCAAAACGTTAGATTTTATTTATCAATGGCGCAAGTATTATATATATATATATATACATATATTAGAGATGTGCGAACTATTCGAATTCGAATCTGAATCCCTATGATTCGAATCCGAATAATTCGAAAATTTCGAATCGAAGATTCAATTACGAATCAAATATATTAGCGTGCATTATATTTGCATGCATCAAGTACAAAACGAGACATCTGGGCCTGTATGTTTGAACCCTTAACTTATAATTAACTTAACTTATAATTAATAACTTAATTATAAATTACTTTAAATATTTAAATATATATTTTACTTTAAGATGATATTACAATATCAATATCCCCTTTCATATTAAAACCTTCCATCATTATGTGCATGTTTAATAGTCATGTTAAATTTTTTAATGATTCGATTCGATTCGAATTCGAATTTCATAGATTCGATTCGAATTCGAATTAAAAAAATGAGATTCGATTCGATTCGATTCGACATAAAATTCTTGATTCGCACATCTCTAATATATATATATATATATATATATATATATATGTATTTTAATAGAACATGTGAACGCTACAACAACTCTAAAGCTATTATACTGTGGTTTTGTTGAACAAATGCCAAATTTGCAAATTTCTACGTTTAATTGTCTATCGGACGGACGGGCACTCTCGCAGCAAAATCACTGATTACATAATCACCAACCGATGTTACAAAAATTAAATACGCCTCCTCTGCTAAAAAAGCAACAAAGAAAAATCAATTAATCAAAATTTACAAATCGTCACATACATACATATATAATTACGAACAATTCAGCCGATCGCTAAAATCGACAATGAAACAATGCACCGATCGACCGAGCCAAAGCGACCGACCGCAACGGTTGTTCCGCGCAATGACGATTTACCGGGGGTCAAGTTAGATCATTTCAAGCGCAATTTCCCTCGCAATCGATCCGCACCAAACACTGCCGACCACCAAGACCCTCTCGAGCGCCGGCCGCCGCGCCGCGCCGGCGATCGATTTTTGCGCGACGCGTCGCGCAATCGAATCAACCGAATCCCGTTGATGACTCGTCGTTACGGTACGACCTTGCACGATGGCCGAAACTGCGACTTGGCTCGTTCGCCAGCCGGGTGACCGTAGTCAAGCGTGTAGTCGACGCATGTACGCGAAACGCGTACGCGTTGTTCGCCACTGGCAATTCGGAGCGCATCTGATTGAACGTAACACGGCGCGCGTACAACGCGCTCGCAGCGCTTGCACGCTTGTCTTACGAGATATTACGCGCGCAAAAGTGGGTCAAGCCCCGACCGCGCGCGTGTCGCGCGTCATGGAAGCGGCGTTTCATCGGGGTTGCAGGCGCGCGCGGGGGTTGCAGCGACAAAAATTCAGCCTGCAGACAACGCCCGGCGGCCGAGAAGCCGATATATCGACGCGGCGCGTCCGCGAGGCGGACGTGTTCGGCCGCGCGTGAAATCTGTTTGCCGGCTTTATCGCGAGCGTACGCGCGCGCGCGCGTAGTTTTATGGCACAACCGTTTGAAAAAATAGAAGAATCCGCGGGAGCTCGGCGAGTATGACTCTCTGCCCCACGGCGGTTCTCACTGCCGCCGCTGCCGCCGCATTTCTTTTTCAGTTGTATAATACTGAGCGGTTTATTAGTATACGATGCTTCCCACGACCGTTTCCTCCCAACCCCCTTCCCCCCATTCGCCTCTCTTCCGCCGCTTTGTTGTTCAAAGAACGGCCGGGCGAAAGAGCTCGTTAACTTCGATAGCTTTGTCTTTTAACTTTGTTGTTGCCGTTCGCTCGGGATACGCAATCCCCCCGTGAGTTCCCAGCCGAGTTCTATCCGCGCCCGAATATGACGGACACGCTTGTTTCTCCCGCCGCTCCCTCCCTTGCCTCGCTCTCCTCTCTCGTCCTCGCTTGCTCTTGTTTCCCTCCTTGTGAAGCGTCGTGGAGCGACTGTATTTAAAAGAGGAACGGAGGTCCGAGCGAAACGAGATGGAAGTATTTAAGAGTGCCCGGAATACAATATCCGCGCGGCGCGCTGTGTTGCGTTCCACGGAGAAAAATGTGTCAAGTACGTTCGAACGGAACAGCGGGGGTTAATTAAGACGATAGCGCGGGGTAGGACAGAGCCTCGCGCGCCGCCGACGACGACGCGCTAACGAACTTTCCGTTTCGGCTCCGTTCCGCGTTGCCAGCACGACCGCTTCGACGTGCGCAAAAACACCCGAAAGTCGGGACAACGTAATCGCGCCTTTTCCCTCGGAGAAAGCGACGTTGAATCGATTGAGGCTGCAGCCGCGGTTGTCCGGTCCTCGGCGCACTTCCCGAGTAGAGAAATTAATCAGGGTAATACCCTGGTAAATAAGGGCCTGATTATTTTTCTCTAACAGTAATCGGGCCCTAGTAGGGCCCTAGAAAGACAAGGGCCCTACAAGATGTGTACTAAATGGTCCTTACAAGACAATATTATAAGGGCCTCATAAGGCAACAGGGACAACAGGGCTTTATATGGCAATATAAATTAATAGGGCCTTTGTAAGGAAATGTTTTTATTATTGCTTGGATAAGAATATTCGTTCTTCTCATTCCAAGAAATTTTGACTGGATTTCTTTATTTCTTTATAACCTTGTTAGTATACAAAAATTTTTTATTTCAAAAATATAGCATACTTTACAATAAAATATAGCATTCTTTACGCATAAAAATCCTGCTACTGTTTTTATTAAAGTTTGCCGCATTTCAAAACGAAGGCAATACTAGAACAATCCTTGGAAGAGATTAATAAATATATCAACTAATAAAACTAATAAAATTTGTTTTTAATTGCGGTATAATTAAAAAAACCTTTAAAAGAACCAGATAGAACGTACCTATTAAAACAATACTAAACTATGACAATTTCATTACATGCTTCAAATCATTAATTTTCCATAACAAAACTTGATTTTGCATGCCTAAAGCATCCTTAAAACACCCTTCTAAGGCCTACATCAGTTTTTCATGTTAAAGCGTTTAATTTCGTAAAATCTAAGGCATCCCTGAAAAATTCTTCTAAGGCCCTCATCAGTTTCCCCTGTCAAAACTTTATTTATTAAATCTATAAGACATTCCTAAAAAGATCCTTCCAAGGCCCTCATCAGTTTTCCTGATCAAAGCCTTTATTTCGTAAAATCTAAAGTATCCCTAAAAGATCCATCTCGGGGCCTGATGTGGCAATAATGAGGCATTCCTTTTTTATTTAGGCTACTGTATTTTCAGCCTTATCGAGGCCTTATACTTCATGAAGATGGCCCTAACAATTTTCTGCTCAGATTCTTCCACGTGCAGTAAGAACTGTTCTCCGAGTCTCCGTTCGAAACATTCAAATCCCGAACTTTGCTCGAGACGGAATTTAATAAAAAGAAAAAAAAAAGAAAGAAAAAGCAGAGAGGGAGAGAAAGGGATGCCTCGCTCAGCGTTACTCAATGTTACATCTCGAGTAAAATGAAAAAGTGTTTCACTCACCCTCGGGGACTTGCGCTTGCCGGTGTTGTCGACGCACGGGAAGCCGCCGCACTGAAACACGTGAGAAAATACGTTGTGAGACAGTCGTTCCTCGTCATTGACTGTTAGATGTTTCATCGGGGCGCATCTCGGCTGATGCGACATGCGTCAGAGCAGCCGACCAGAGCGGCCGGCTGCTACAGATTGGCTTTACGGCGCGATAAAAGGTAGATGGCGCGGCGTAAAGCGAGTACTCGCGCGCACTCGCGCGATAACGGCGCTCGCGCGCTCGCCACGTCCTACTGCTGTGCCGTCTTATCGGAAAGATTTGAACTTACGGTCACATTAGAGAGTCGTATCCATATCGAGAGGAGGGGGCAGGGGAGGGGGTGAAAGCGGCTTTATAACGATCGATATGCCGCGCGGTGGCCCGTAGTTATACGAGTTATATACGACGGCTGTTAACGCTTATATCACGGCCGTGTACACCGCCAGCATTGTACACGCTCCCCGACGTAATGACATTTATACGCGAGTGTGCAGCGCGCGGGATTATTGCCCGCTGGAAGATTTACAGTCCGGACCAGCGACGTAAGATACCAGCGCGACGACTCCTCAATTCGCGATTTTTCGCGGGAGCCGAACGACGACGCGGCGGCGCACAGTGGGGCCAGATGACATTTTTTGATGGAAAATTCTCTAGAGACCTGAATTTCCAAGCGATCATCGACACCAATGGATGAGGTTGAGTCTTGAATAAATTCCAAAGAGATCTGTCTAGCCGAAATTTTGAAAAAATTATCGGTTCAGGATTCATGGGTTTAGGGTTTGTCTTAAAAATTTATCGTTTAAAGATACTAAATGCGAATACCCCAGAACTTATACTCACCTCTTAGAAAATTCAGAATTTCAAAGCTCATCATTTCAGGCCACATTAAGAAAGAATTAAGGATTAAAATCCCTCGGTTTGGTGCTTAACGGGTCTCTATATTTGATGTTGTATCTCACAAGTTTCTCGCGTTTAACGATAATTTCTCCTCTTTTGGGGCTAGTAATTCGAGAAAAAAGTTTTTTTTCTTTTTTGGTAAGACAGATCTCTTTGGAATTTATTCAGGATCAACCTCTCATTCATTGGTGTCGATGATCGGTTGGAAATTCAGGTCTCTAGAGAATTTTCAACCAAAGAATGTCATCTGACTCCACTGTGCGGCGGCGGCTGCGCGTTTCCGAGCTCGCCGGCGGGGCGAATCTAGCTGAGGAAAAAATCAGGAACAGTCTGTCGGAGTTACGTGAGTTTTGTCACGCGAACCGGGAGCGAGTCGAACAGAATAGAAAGCGAGGCGGCTCGGCGGGGAATTTCATTGCGCGCCGAATCGAGTCAACGGTGGTGGAGAGCCAACGAAACTGAAACATAGTCGTTGCGTGCGCGCGCGCGTGTGTGATACAGATGATCTTTCAATTATCAGATCGGCTGATCCGCCTGCGTAATGCGAGTAATTCCGCCTGCGCTGGAATGTTAACTAAAACAGGCGATAAATTCGAGCCCGAACGTGTTCGGTCGGCTACTCTCGCGATAGCCTCATTCAACTAAACTTCGAGCTTGTTTTACACGAACGACGGGCGAAAGGAACACGAAAATGTTGCCGGCCAAAGAATCGGACCAGTTAGTTTGCCATGTACGACTTTGAAAATCGAGTTCGTTTCACTCGCGATGCAGCTGGCCCTTCTCAGCTGATCTTTCTCCTTTCTTATGGTGGAAGCGGATTTCTTCGTTTCAGCCGTCTCCTCCCTCCTGCCGATGTATCGTATCCTTTTCGAGACGCAGAAAGTGCGCGCGGGCAGACCGCTAATGTCGAATCGCGCGCTCTTCGTTATCAGAAACGCGCGATAACGGAAATCGCTCGTCTCTGCAAAATGCAGCGCGCTCGCAGAACGCCGCATGATAATTCGGCGCCGCACAGCTCGTCCGTTTATTACGGCATATCGTTTGACAATGGAAGAAAACCGCTCGACTTTTCCGCTTCCGCTCGCTCGTTAACGCGCGGGAGTTGCCCGTCCGGCGGCGTTGCGGCAGACGCGATTTATTATTTCATCGCAGAGCGCATAATAAAAATGACGGGTAGCCGGCCGCGCCGTAACGCGTGAGCGATTTCCGCGCGCGCGCGCGCGCCGCGTGAAATGTTGGCAGCTGACGCGAAAAAATACTTTCGCAGTGACGAGGGATAAATAGCACTCTCGCGCTGACTTTCGCCGAACGCGATTGAGCCGGCCGATGAATAACCGAGCAATTATTTAATTTTCAGCCAAGTGTCAAACTCGTTGTTGAACGGCGCCTAAAAAAGACTGATAATCTCTACATGCTCCGAAATAAAATGTCAGCGGCTGATGCCAAGTTGGTAATGACGTTGAGTCCGTCGATTAACCCGATCGGAATTTCGGGAGAACCATCCGCGGCCGTTTTTATCGCATGTTTATCCACGGGAAGCGCATCGACGAGATGCCGATATTCCGCTGAAAAACTCCGCGGAAAATGGAGAAAAAGAACGTGAAAAGGGTAAACGAATCGCGGAAGCGGAGCACACTCGCTCGGGTTTGTAGATATTTAATAGCCGACTGGACCAATCAGAGTTTGATGAAAACCGCGAAAAGTAGCTTGCGCTTCACACACGATTACTTGCGAAAAGCCTCGACGAGAAGCAACATTCCGATCGAGAAAATAGCGGAAAAACTCGAGAGAGAGAGAGAGAGAGAGAGAGAGAGAGAGAGAGATGGGGGCTCGGAGCACTTGTAAAGGATGAACGCATTACGAGAGAGCGAAGGAGGCCGGCTCGCTGATTTGCCGAGCGGCCGCGGCGCGGAAGAGTGGAATTGTTTTCAGCTTCCGGCGAAATTCCCGCCGTATTCCCAGGACACGCCGCTTCCGCCATATTCGCGGGACACGTGCTACTTCCGGCCGCCTGCCTGCTGCGCGGCCGGCGGATAATCTGCAAAATCGGCCGCGCTTCCTCGCCTCGCCTCGCGGCAATTAGGACTCACGAGTTCTGGCGAATCTCGCATTGCGATTGGTTATCCGACCGTTTAGCCGGGAAAGATATCGTCGAGAGCGACCCCGCAGTATTAAATTCCTACCGCGTCATCGCCAAATAGCCCGGGGCTGAAGGGAAGGTGGCGGTCGCGTCGTCCAAAAGGGGATGCAACCCTGAATGTCGGCCGGAGGAGAGACGCGAGGTAGCGCTTGAAAGAGAAGTCAATGGCAATCGAGAGAGGCTGCTCTCTTTCTCTCTCCCTCTCTCTCTCTCTCTCTCTCTCTCTCTCTCTATTTCGGCTACATCCGCGACGTCCTCGGCTCTTCCCTCCCCCCCCAACGGATACGTAGGGATGCCGATTTTAAATCGATTTAATCGAAGATCGATTAATCGGAGCCTAAAAGGGATGCCGATTTCAAGTCGATTTTCTGGAACTGAATCGATTCAAGGATCGATCTGTAAATTCTGAAAATCGCCAACACGATTTTCTCAGTTTCTATTAGTAATATAGTTTTCTTTGTAATTTTTTTTAATTCCTTTTTTAGTTGTAATATTTTCTTTAATTCTTTTAAATTATATTTTTAGTTGTAATATTTGAACTCACTTAATGGCTGCACGATGCACATTACGTTGCCTTTAGGTCTCATGGGCGAAAATTTTCAGCGGAACGGAACGGAACGCGCGAACCAATCACAGCCACTCCATACAATAGTACATATTATATACATATGTATATACGTATAATAGTAAACGTGATTTCTTATTTAATGACGTTTAAAAACCCTTGACTGATGTTTAATCAAACTAATTAAATCCTTGGCATAAAGATTTAAAGATCTTTTTCTATCTTGTTATGGCCACACACAACACAACCGAAAGAGTACCATCGGTTTAATTCTGTTTAATTCATATTAAACTTTATATGAATTACACGAGGTCTACTTTGGAGTGTAGAAATTTGACAGACAGTATACTTTAATGAGTGGCTCACTTTACATGCATACCGATTCAAATCGATTTTCTGAAATCGATTCTTTACAAACCGATTCTTTAAAGATCGATTTTTTTTTTCGTGATTCGAGTCGATCTTTCGAAATCGATCTGTTTGAAAACAAATCAGCATCCCTCATGAGACGCGCGTCTCATTGTTCGTTCTCTGAAGAATCCGCGGCGCGGACTCGAAGCTGACAAACGTCGTACAACGCGAATTTTTCCGCGCGATTTCGAATCGTCCTGCTTGCTCATCAACGCCTGTGACGTCCGTCGAAAAATGGCGGAGCAATCAGCGGCTCTCGAGTTACTCGCACCGTGAGAATCCGATAGCGTTGCAGACGACGACGACGACGACGACGACGAGATTCTTTCAGCAAGGCAGTGGCGGAGAGGTCGTTTCTTTGTTCCTCGCTGCGAGCCCCGCGATTCATCCGTGTCTAATGGGAGAATTTGTTGCTTAATATAATTCTCGGAGGATAAATTCTCTCTCTCTCTCCCTCTCTCTCTCTCTCTCTCTTTCGCTCTCATCGGATAACTTCCGAGGAACTCATCGACGGAGAAACGTTGCAATCCCTTTGCCGCTGACTATGCGTGACCGCGCCTGAAAGTATCGGCGCGCCCGAAGCTCTCGAGCTCGGCGTAACAAAATATAAGCGGTAAATTCGGAATTTCACGGTGGGGGCTGAAGCGCGCAAGTGCATCCTTTGCAAGGCTCCGAGGACGCCTCCCCCTCCGGAGTGAAGATGCGCGCGCGCGCGATTGCCGCCGTATGAATTTCGGACGACAACAACGACAACTCCGATCGCTCTCATCGTCGTTTGCGTTTCTCTTTTCTCTTGTTCCTTTCTCGTACTTTCTTTCGCGAAAGATTTACGGTCGATGCGAGGGAAGGAAACGGCGCTTTATTCGCTCGCTCGATCCACGCCTCGCGATGATTAAGTCGTCCCCGGGGGTTTTATCCTCGAGGGGTGGAAAGAAGTTCCGCGGGGAAGACTTCAACTCCCTCTCTCAGTCTAGGACCGAAGCGTGGCTTTATCTTCGATCGCGCTTCGC